CTGAAAAAAAATGTTATGTTATGTTGTGTTCTGTGCCATGTGCAGTAGGGATAGCTAAAAAATGTAGTTTTTTTTTGTAAAAATTTCTTTTGTAGTTCTGTTCATTAAAACCATTATACTTAACTTCACATGAAATGCACAGCAGTCAAGAATTTTTGTGATATTCACAAACCATGAGTAGTCTAGATAGCTGAAATGTGTAGCAGTAAAAATTAAAGTGTGTAATTCAAAATTTTCAAGCCTAGTAGAACTCCAAACTGTAGAATGATACACAAAATATAATCAGGTCTGCATTCAGTTGTGATTTAGCCTTCAACACTTTCATTTCTTCATTGCTTCCAACTGATCCATGTGACATGAATTATTGGAACCAACTGTAGCCTTTCTTTGAACATCTCATCTACCAAACTATTAAAAGATAAATCACAAAGTTTGTGTTTTTGAAATTGATGATCATTCACTTTGTACGCAAGTCAGTTTCAGTCCTTGAAACTTCTTAACATAGTACTGGAAAAGTCCTGAAATTCTTTTTATACAGATCTGTGGAAACCCTGTAAATAGAACTTTGATTAATACTACTTTCAATTGATAAGATATGAAGTGGCTTCTAAACAAATTACTGTAAATCACTATTTGAACAGAAAATGCAGGAGGACTATTTCAACTGTCCAGAAAGTTTTTTTTGTTTTTTTTTTATCTGTTGAAATAAATGTATTTCGGGATTTTTTTAGTTTGAAAATAAATGATTTTACAATAAGCACTTGTTTGAAAGAGTGACCAATAATTCATTTTTATAAAACAAATTTCTTAGTTTTGTAGTCACTTTTTGACAAAGGGAAATAAATGCACAAAATTCTTTAAAATTAGATACATCTAAGACAAGAGGTATTCAAATTCCTCATGCCAAAATTAGTAAAGTTTCGAAGTTTTGGGCATGTACCATTTTGTTTTTTTTTTTATGGTGAGTTCAGGATGGTATACTTTTGACCTGTTTATGTGCTTACTGGTTGATTTTTAATATGAGTTTATTATTTGCGAAAGAATTGTGTCTTCAGAAAGAAAAAAAGATTAAACTTAGTTTACATACTAATTTTATCAAAATATCCTTGAAAATAAACAAGATATAAGCAGTTGAAATTAAAGAAAATTTCTCTATTTTGACATGATTTCACACTGTAAATTTGAGCAGTTTGGGATACCTAGTATGAATGGTCAAAATTGTTCTTCTGTGTCATGTGTTAACTTTTTTGAGAATGTAATTTTTCTTAATGCTTAGGCTGGTCTGATCTAATAATTCATTCCATCAGTATTATATTTTACTTCAAGATTACCTATATAACCAGTGGCATAGCTAGTGTTTTGCCATCCAGGGCATCACTCAAGTTTGATACCAATCGCCAGAAGTAATACAATACAATGTACATGTAAACCCCTTAAAGTTTATATATACACACACACACACACACACACAATTATTTTATGTGCGCATTATATATATATATATATATATATATATATATATATATATATATATTTGCATTTTTGGTGGTGAATTTTCGCCTCAATGTGCTTAACAAAACATAAATATTTTATTTGTGGTCCAATCGTTAAAAGAATTACATGTATGGAAAGAGAATTAAAAAAAAAAAAAAAAAAAGCATTCTAATTATGTTAATAATTTGTGCCTTCAGACACATTGAATATTTTTATGCAATTTTTTTATGACAGCTTCTGTCGTATTTTCACATGTAGCACTAGTGGGATAACTTCGGGTTTCTGTTAACATGGTATTTATAACTCCTCACTGATAAATTATGAAATAAAAGTACAATTGTCTTTTTTTTTTTTTTTTTTTTTTTTTTTTTTTTTTTTTTTTTTTAATAAAACTGGGGATATGTAATAAAACAAAGACATTACTACTTTTTTTCCTAAATCAGGAAGGCTTTAAAAAAAAACTTTTTTATGATATTAAAAGAAAGATAACTTTTTTGTTTATGTACCCTCTGTTTTATTTAAAATGAAAAACAGAAAGCACGTTGTACTTTTAATTGATAATTTATCAGTTTTTTTTAATTATTTCAATTCTAACAAGTGATGAGTCATAAATGCCACATTAACAGAAACATGGTTCGTTTTTCTTTCAACAATGTAAAAAAAAAAATGCAATGTCTTTTTAAATTATTTTGTTTTACATAGTTGAAGTTAATATTAGTAGACTAAGAATTAAAAGTCCAATAAAATTAATTTCACTTTTAAAAACTGAAATAAATTTTATACTTTTAATTTTTAGCCTATTTTGCTTAATAAAACTTCAACTATCTAAACAAAACAATAAAATATTACATTGTTTTACTACTGTGAAAAGTTATAAATTGAAAAAAGCCCATTTTTGAACTTTAAAAATATATTAATTTTCAATTTTCTTTTAAATTTCCATTCGATATTTCCAGAAAAATTGGAATGCATGTGATATCCTTAAGGTATTGGAATTATTTCAGTTTGTTTATCTGTTTTATTATTTATGAAAAGTGACAATTTTATATCTGTATTAAAGGTAGGCCTTTAATAAGATAAAAAAAACAATTGGTTCACTTATTTATTTTCACTAACAGTTCATACACATGAAAAATCAAAATCAAAGAACTGATGCCAAAGTCTGAACTTATCACATAGGTGTGAAAAAACTGGATTGACTAAATCTACATAATCCAACCCCACATTAAACTCTTTAAAAATGTTCAAATTTTTTCACACCTTTTGCTCAATTTCTTTTAAGTGGGGTTTATCCCCATCAACTGACAGCATTTCTTTTAATTTTTTTATGGAAAACACAGCGGGGGGGAGCAGAGGTAACACCCCCACCCACCCATCTATGCCACTGTATATAACAATTTTGATGACTTTTAACTAGTCTAAAGTCAACATCTTCAGTTATACATTGTTGAGATCTGACACAGTAGCACATGAGATAGAAAACTGACCAGGTTTGAATGACCATAACTTGGTTGCTAATACCATAATAAATTCTGGTACCATTTCTTTTTGTTCTATGCTATTATTAAAGTGTGTTGTTTTATTTATATATATATATAGAGAGAGAGAGAGAGAGAAAGTAAAATTTTAATTTAGAATACCTAATTGAACCCAACTAGCCAGTCAATGACCCATTTACTTGAAAACCTTTTGTTTGTATCAATACTCCACAATCTAAACATGGCAGGAATAAGTTAACTTAGCAGAAATAATAGTACAAGATTAAATAATAATAATAATAATAAAAAAGCCACATGTACTCATTTAGACACAATAACAGTTATGAACCAAATGAAAAGTAAATTTAAAAGAAGCCTGCACTTAATAGAGAAATTAAATTTCTCTCACCTAATGGGAGATTAAACTAAAAGAAAAGACCAATGAACAAGTTAACAATTGATGGACTAAAAAATGAAACTTAGTTTAACCAATCATGGACTGGGCTGACATGAAACATCACCTAAAATCTTCATAACCAATATCCTAGAAACTTGGAGTCTGCACCTTGAGGCATTTGCCACTTTTGCCAAATTTAACAGAAGAGTTAATTTGACTGGTGCTTAACAAAATCAGTTCCTCTCTGTATTTCTGGAGGGAATTGTCATTTGTGGGGAAAATTGTGAAAATGGCTTACCTTGGAAACGCGTGCGAATCTGTGCAGTGTGCAAACTCCGGTCGTCCCAACAGTAAAAGGAACCAAAATGGCGGCAGCCATATTTTATGCCGGGCGGTCTCGGTTAGTTAATGCGAAATCTTGTTGTCTCGTCATTCGCATGCAAATCGTGGTCGGTCCTCGGCTGTATAAAGCAGGCTCGTTTTGCTGTTTCGGATCGGAGAGCTTTCGGCTCGTGAGAAGGTTGGACGTGTGACACCGGTTTCTTTGTTCCTACCTGCTATCATCAGTTGAGTTGTTGCGTTACCTCCCACATCATTATTCAAACACTATTGTCCTCATTTTTGTTATTGTCACAAAGTTTCAGCCGTTATTCTCTTCAGCCTTCATTAGGTGTGTGTTGAACAAGTTAACTGTCAGGAAATTTTGAACTGAATCTTTTTTCATCTACAAGGATAGACCATTCTCATTCTACTGTGTCTAGGGATATCTTTGCTATTTCTTATTTACTAAAGTTAGTTATTGCTTGCCATGTTTCCACCGAGTTCGAGTCTGCACTAACCAGTCCGGGGATTGAACACACAATTATTACATCACTAAATTTATGAAATAACACTTTAATCCACTAGACTATTTCTGGTGAAATTGCCAGTCCTCTTGTGCAAGGCTTTTTGCCCAAGTCCAAAGACAGTGATATTTCTGTTTTGTCAAACCAAAGTCAGTTATCAAATTAGCTTTGACACCCCTCTCACTAAGACATGATATATTTCTCGATAAAAATATGAGAGTTCATTTCTGAATGCAAACACTAAAACAAATTCCTACTTTGCTACCAATAATCACATTACAACTCAAAAGACTAATAATAATCAATAACATAAATATAATAAAGTTTATTTAAAAAAAAAAAAAAAAAAAACAGTTTAGAAATCTATAAAATGTATATATGTAAGTGATAAAACTATATTAAATGTCTCTACCACTTGTGTTCTATGTCAGTTTTAGTGGTATTTCATTTGTTTTATCATTATTTATAGTTTAACAGTTTTAAGGAAACATTTATATTGAAACAAAGTATTTTTTTCTCTTTTTATGTGTCTTTTGAAATATAAAGCTATTAAGAATTATACCCTATTTTAAGTTGGTTTTCTTTTTCAGCATTTGATATAGTTGTAGATTTTATGTTTATATTTCTATACTTGCTAAATAATTAATTTCACCTTTTTGTTTAAAGATATAAGCTTGGGAAAAAAATTATTAATTAATACTTATATGAAACAGAATTTCTAATTATTATTCATAGCTTTATTTAATAATCAACAAAACAATTTTTTTTTCTCTCTCTTTCTCCAAGGAAATCCTCGTCAGGACCAAGAGTATGCTGATAGTCGCCAACAGTACTCTCAACCAGGATATATCATCCCTGAGTTAATTAAGAGCTTCCTAACCTACTTCCAAAAGTGCATCAATGAACAAAATGTTTATGAGATCCAGAATGCCTATGAAAATGAGTAAATACCTTTTTATTTTGATTAATTATAACTGCTTGCACTAATTCTCTCCTCTAGCATGGAGATTTGATGACCTATAACATTTCCTTATGATTATTACTTTTATGGCAGCTATTTTAATGACTTGTAAGTTATCACAAGGTTTACTAGTATTTGAATGAACTGACCACTTTCTGTATTGTTAAACACCTAGCAGATTTGGTTTCAAATCAAGTAAAGAATAGGTATCAAAATCAAATTAATCTTCTGTCTGATAAAGTGTTCTCAAGTCAAGGAAATTTTGTCTCTAAATAAAAACAATCTTATTACAAAAACATGTAATGGCTTTATTGACATTCATTGTTTTTAGCTTTGTGCCAGTTTCATATATTAAAAATATTGCAATCTCAAAAGACATTAACTTCTTTCATACTGCCTTGTATGTTTGCTTCTATGTACATCAAGACATGTTGTATGGTTTATAGCTCCCTACAGCAGTTTGGATCATGTGCAGGACATCTTTTAGCTGAATGTCCTTGCTGTAAATTGTGGCCTAGTGAACAGGAAGATATTTCAAGGATGAACAAATTTACTTAGTTATCAGTGTCCATCTTGATTGTGACATGTTGATTTTTCAGGAGGCGTACTGGTGACTTGTTCAAGTAGAGACTACCAGTGACATGATAGTTGGTTATGTGACTTTGAGATTTCCTAGAATGGGATAACTCATGTGTTCATGATGTAGGAGGTGGGATGTGTTTTCATGGACCCTGTTGAACAACTATTGTTAGCTTGTCTCCTCTTAGATTTGGGGTGGGTAGGATTCCACACATTACAAATAGGTATATCGGAGGTGGGGGTTTAGACTGGATCATACTGCTAATCAGTCACAGGCAGTCATTCAACTTTTCTGATATGTGAAATATGGGATCACAGTACTCTGCAGCTGAGAAGCACAAAGCTGGTGCATCAGTCATGGAAGTCTAATATGCAATTATTTCCTGCAAGGCATCTGTGTAGAGTGTAACCAAGGTAGTTTTGGGTCTCTTTGAAAGGGATTTGTGTATCACCAATGTTAACATGTAGTTCTTACTTGGCAAACTTGTTTGTGAGGTGGAAGAAGCTCACAAGTTTTCAGCTTGTTTAGCTTCAGTCTCCATTGATGGAAGTATGTACTTAGTGCGGTTAAGTCAACAGACTGATTGTCCTTGACCGTCTCATGAAAAAGACGGTTATCGTCGCAAAACGGGCAACAAGACTTTTCAATGTAATATTCACTAGTGCATGAATTTTTTTGCTTTAAACTAACAACTTGAAGAATTAAATAATTTTAACTAAATATATTCTTCAATTGAAATAAGTTGAACTTAATAATTTAACTTACTTTAATTTGCACTCTTGTCTGTTCAAAGTATAAATACTAATACTCTACACTTTTTTATTTTCCAGGTTTAATAAATTGACTGAACGTTTCTTCAGGAACTCACCGTGGCCTGGTGCAGATGATGTTTCTCCTATTGTCAATGAAGGTAATTTCTAAACATTTCACTTTAAATCCTAAAATTTCAACTTATTCTGAACCTGCTTAGAATTGAGATCTGTAAGAATAAGTTTGATACAATTTTCTTTATGGTAAAACTTTTCTTGCAATAAATTAATCAGTATATGATAGTAATTTGCATAAATTTTCAGAAATATTTTGTAGAAAATTTAAAATATTTAAAAATATGAAATTGCTTTTACTTTGTCAGATTAATTTAATATTTTTATTATAATCGATTGAAGTGTTTCTATATGAAAGAATTAAGTTTTATTCAATTTTGTACAAAGTCTTCATATTTTACTCTTTTTCAGATCAAGTTTTTCTGATATTGTACAAGGAGCTGTATTTCCGGCATATATATGCTAGAGTTCAAGTGAGATCTTTGTATAGTATATACTTTTAATATTGGTAACAAATAGTTTGACTGACAGATGTTTTTCTGTAAAAAAAAAAAAGAAAGTTAATTGGCTTAATTCTAGTTGAATATTGTATTATTCTATCAATCAAAACTTTTTAAGGCATATGAATGTGTTGCCCCTATTACCAACACAAAAAGTAAAGTGGAACTTGCCTCAGTTAATATCTTAGGGTGTTCAAAAAATGTCTTTCATTGCTATGAATTAGAAGTCAACCAACTATAGCCAAACCACAGTTGAATATGAGGAAACTGAATCTAGAATGAGTTTATCATCTCTATCCAACAGCATGACATAGTTCATTTTTGAGGAAATTTGTGAAGATGGAATTTAGATACTTCATGAACTTTTGCTTGAGAATCAAACACAATGTTTTACCATCTATAATAGTCTTTTAACCAGGAATGCTAAACAATTTTGTGTCACATTGTTGCGAGTGATGTAGAATGGGTGTTGCTTGTTAACAGAATATGAAATGACAAAATGAGAAATCACTGCAAACACCAAAATTGGCACTCCATCCATGAGAGTCCTTGCTTTGTGTATGGTTTTAATATGAAAGATCTCATCCATTACAAGTGACTAGAACATGAAAAAAAAAAAAACTATCTCTTCAAGCATTTATTACGAGTAGCTTGATCTGGTAACTGAAACATTACATTGAAAGAGTCCTGCTTTGGTAAAGAGAAATGTTATTTTTCAGCTTGACAATGCAACGACACATTCTGTGGAACAACTCTCCCAAAAAATAAGATTGTTAGGATGAGAGGTTGTTCTGCATTTGCCATACTCAGCAAATTTAGCATCTACATATTTTCATGGATTTTGATCACTAGAACATTTCATGAGTATCAGAACATTAAGAAAAAGTTGAAAATGGTCTTTCAAACGTTTTTTCAGTAGGAAAAATCCTAATTTCTTTAAATGTGGAATTGAAAATGAAAGATGTTAGTTTTGATAAATAATATTGAAATTTTATATATCCTTTCTGATAAAATATAATTACCTTCTGAACACTCTAGTTAAAATGTACTTAATTTTCACTGAATATATTTATATTCAATGAAAATTAACTAGATTTTGCATGATAGTTCAGAGGTCAATTCTTTCAATTATACTAATCTTAAAACGAGACAAAATGTTATCTATCCACTACAAAATGTTTCTCTTCCTTTCAGTCTGGACCATCTTTGGAACAACGGTTTGAGTCATATTACAATTACTGCAGCCTTTTCAATTATATTTTGAGTAAGTTTTTTTTTTTTTTTTTTTTTTTTTTTCAAATGTATTTTTGGTTTGTCTTGCAGGTTATTATCTACTAGTTTGCTACACAAAAACTGTTTTCCTGTATATTTGATAAAACAAAAAAAAATTTGGACTGGAAATTAATATTTAATGCCTCTATAGATGTTCTCAGGAATAGTTTTTATATATATATATATATATATATATTCATCCACAGACAGACTATCGTTCATCAGTGCGGCTAGACATCTGGTTGCTTCTAGCTAGGATTGAAACCTGACTGAATTGGCATCAGTCAGGGATTCTACCACTAAACCATTGGCGCACGGCAGGGATGAAGGTGAATTCAAGTATATTTATTTTTTAGATAAACACACAGTGACTGAGAGAACTTGATTCGATTTACCAGAGAGTCTTGCATTATTAGCCATAATAGTCACTTTTTACAAACCCACACTTCCTCCCCAGAGAACTCAACTGAAATAAAAAATTTTTAGGAGCATAAATCCAGAATTTATGTTCATCATTTTACCATTTGGAGTAAGTGAGTCCTGCTTTAAAGAAGTTGACATGAAAGTTTTCTGGCCAAAGTAAATGGAATAAAATATGCAGTAAAATTGTTCACTGACTTTTTTCCATAACACTTTCATAAAATTTTACATGTAGCTATTTCAATTTACATTTAATATTACTCTCAGCACATTGAAATAGTAAAAAAGATATCAGGAAATTTTAGAAAAAAAATTCGATATGAGGCAAATCCAAATTTCTTTTTATTATGTTTCTCTGATAAGTATATGCATTGATTGTGGATGTATTGTAATTCTCTCAGATGCTGAAGGACCAGTTCCTTTGGATTTGCCTAACCAATGGCTGTGGAATATTATTGATGAATTTATTTATCAGGTAAGACCTTTCTGCTTGTTGTAAATGAAAGTGCATTATCAGTAGAATGAATCCTTGATAATTTTTTATTTTAAAAAATAAAGCACAATTGCTGTATTTAATTTTTTCTAAATCAGCAGCTTTTAAGGGGTTGGTGAAAAGTTCCAAGTTCAACCAACATCCTAAAATCCAAGAACTTTTTGACACTCTTAATTGAACATACTGACATCTGTAAGAGGTGATTATCACTTGAGCTTTTAAAATTCATTCATAAACATGGAAAATAGAAGTTGTATAGTTGTGCTAATGATTTAGTTGAAATAATGTTTTTTGTGAGTCTGTTTTCATTTTTAAAATTTAGCATTTGATGGTCAAATTGTACTCTTCATGCACTTCTGGAAACAATTTTTTTTTATTTTATTTTATTTATTTTTTTTTATTTTTTTTACATTGGTTTACTTTTTACAGTTTCAGTCATTCAGCATCTATCGCTGTATGCTAACCAAGAAAGACGATAATGAAATCAAAGGTCTCCGTGGCAGTCCTAAAGTAAGCAAAAATGTGTACCTTTTTATATTTTAGCATTTTATAGTTTTTTGTTTGTTTTTGGGGGGTTTTTCATGTTAAATTGTTCATTTGAATACAATTATTCTTTTATGCATTTTGTGTCAGAATCATTTAAATAAATAAAAATTGTGTGTGCAAATAAGTATATAAACACTTTTTTTTTTTTTTTTTTTTTTACAAGCACATAACTGAAAATTAGTTTCCTTACCCTATTTTCTTTATCTGCACACCATAAAGGTTAGAACTTTAAGCAGTGCTTCCCTCTAAGAATGCTCATGAGAATTCATAGGATCTAATAATATGTGGCCTTTTTAATATTTTTTAATATGTGGTTTTTACTTTCTCTTGTAAGATCTGGAATGTCCATAGTGTACTGAATGTGCTACACTCATTGGTTGAGAAATCCAACATTAACCGTCAGCTTGAGGTCTACACAAGTGGAGGTAAGTATAACAAAACAATCTCTCCGTAAATAATCTCATTCTTAGTTTTAGCAAAAGTAAATTTTGTCCTCCTTTCTGTTTTATGCATCTGATAGGCTATTATAATAAATACTTAAATTTGTTACAAAGTTTGTTAGTTTTTGAAAGTTTTTTTCTTAATTCTAAGGATACAAGCAAGAATTAATGTATTCCCAAACAAGACAAATAACAAAAGTATAGCCTTATTCTATATAGTGCCACACAAAAAGGAAGCACTTTCAGTAAATGTAATATATGCATGCATGTTATTTAACCTTGTTGAAGCAGTAGTCTGATTTCTTGCATACACTAAAGTGTTAAGAACATAGATGATAAAACTTCTTTTGCAATTTGAATTTTCTTTGTGCAAATGCTCTCTGGAAAATCAAAATCTATTAAATCTTGCCTATGAATACATTTGATAGAAGGTATATTGGCAACATAATTATTGGTTAGCTATAACATTATGGTGCTTTTTATAAAATCTGTCAATTTGAAATGACCATATCTATCTAAAAAAAATTTTGTAAATGAGATTAAAATTAGAAAAAAAATTTTAATTATTAAACGAAAGATTACTAACTTATTAAGAGTAGGGTTCAATATGACAGCCTTCAGTTTCCTTACACATCTCAAATCCTTCAGTATTTCAAAACACAGCATGAAGCTCTGCATCATTTCAAATGACACCATGTCAGCTGGGGCTTCAGGATAGGCCAACTGCATCTCTGCACAGTGGTTCCCCCCTTCTCCAATGAGGCCACATGTTTACCATGGGTGGTGACCTGTAATGTCTGGGGATGGGATCCTGGTGGTTGAGGGAGTCAGGAGTTGGGGTTAGATACTTCTGAATCCCAGCACACCACTTTGGCCCTTACAAGGAATAGATGGGTGGGCAGAGAGGTCCAATTTGGTCAATCAGCTGATCATGTCAAACCCTAATTTAAAGTAACCAAAATTGAAGGAAGAAAATTTGGCCTCATTTAAATGTACCTCAAATGTAAATATATAAATTATTTGAAATAGAAGATGGCAGTTGTAGGGTCAATCAGTTTGGAAGGAAAGAACTATGATGTATCATAGATACTCCAGATATTTCACTAGTTCTTGGGTAGTGAAATCAAAGGGGAATTAAAGGCTCATGGCCTTCCTACATATGAGTATACTGTTGCTGTAGCCCTGTCTTACCAACTGGAATGGGTTTCCCCCTTGGTATTACCCATTAAATTGAACTCCATGGTGGGTTGGGAGCAAGGACCATGAAAATCTCAAAAATGGCACAATTTTGGTTGAGGTTGAAGGAAAGACATGTGGAGATATTACTGAGAATGACAGCATTTCATAATAAAAAATAAAAGCATTCCCTCACAAAAAATGGTGTAGTATGAAGTAGGGGATTCTCCCAATGTACCATTGATGAAATAATGAATTGAAGATGCAGGGAGTTACGGATATCAGAAGAGTTACAGTTAAAAAAAATATTGTCACCAACGTTTACATTCTGGCATTCAATGTACCAACTAACAAATAACTAATGTTCCCAAAAAGATAAAAATAGGATATAATGTAGAAAAGACTGAAACCCTTCATCCAAAATCCTCTCCATTGTTACAACTGCCAGACATGAGGACAGATGCTATGGTAAAGCAGTATGTGGTCAGTGTAGATAAAAGAATCCAGACCACACCATAAATTAATGCAGCGATACATACAAATTATGGAGAAGAACATCCTGCATATGCCAGAGTATGTAAGATTTGGAGAAAAGAGAGAAATAGTAAAACATATCAAAAGCACTTCTTTCTCCAGAGCATGTAAGGGATATATGAAAGAAAATAGATATGCTGAAATAAAAGCTAACATGCAAGAAAATCATCAGAAATAGGATAACTTGATGAAAAGATTAATTCAGTTGGGGCCAAATGACTGGCTAAAATTCATAAATAAAATCAGGCCATGTCTGAATGAGAATAATGCAATGATATAAAATGAAACCAATGACAAAATAATAATGCAACCTAGAGCTTCCTTGCAGGTTATCCAAAAGTTGCCAATTAAAAGTAATTCGATAAAACAAAGATCATCAATCCACCCTCCAACACCCACCCAAAAAACTCTAAAGGGAAATCTCCCAAAGAAAATACAAAAAGTCAACAAACACAAACACTCTTGAAACAAAAAGATAGATTTGCAACTCACAAAAAAATGGATATAAATCCTATAAGCAGTTCTAAAAACAAACATAAAAAAATAAAATACAAAAAAATTTCTATATACAACTAAGCAAAATATAAAAGCGATGACAAACAAAATAATACAATGGAGCATAAGAGGTGCTAAAATTAATATCAATGAATTGATTATCTTCACCTCAACATTTAACTTGGCTCAGCAGTTATGTTTACAGGAAACTTATTAAAAGAAAAGGATGCTCTCAACATAAAACATTACTTAACCTGCAATTTCATCAGACAAGCTGATAGAGCCTCAGGAGGCTCATCAATACTCATAACAATAGCATACATCATAGTGAAATAATGCTCGATACAAACTTACAGGTGGTAGCAATACTAGCTACCTTTCACAAAACCGTAACTTTTTGCTCGATATACATACCACCTGATGAAATCCCTAATGAAACAGAATTACATAAATTAATACAGCAACTACCAAAACCTTTCATATTAACGGGGAACTTTAACAGCCATGCATAATATGGGGGAGTAAAGAAACAAATAAGTCAAAATTGTAGAAACATTAAATCAAAGACAGCTATGCCTCCTAAATGACAAAAGTAACACATCCAGCTACAGGAACATGCTCTGCCATAGACTTAACAATCTGTGAAGAGAGTATATACATGGATTCTACCTGGTCAACTCACAATGATGTGGAAGTGATCACTTTTCAATTATACAAGAAAACACAACCCCCAAACTAAATGATAAAACGCCCAACTGGAATCTTCAAAAAGGTAACTGGACAGAATTGCAAAATGCCTGCAAACTCAAATTGATACCAAACACAAACTGATAAAAATAAGGAAGAACTAATATCACATTTTACCAGTATCCTACTTGCAATAGCCAATGAAAACAAAATACTCTTGCACCTTAAAATTTAGTAACCCATGGTTCAATGACAATTGCAAGAAAGCAATTCCATACATTCCAAACCAGCTTATGAAAATTTAAAAGAAACTACTTATCAAAAAAAAAGAAATCTAAAACGACAAATCCGTTTCGCAAATTTTTACGAGAAAGAAGGCTTGCTTAAAATCTGGCAGGACCTTAAAGAGAAGCACAACGCTCTTAGCAGAGCTGAAAATTTAAGAAAGAGACGAGTGAAACGAAGGAAAGACCAAGAGCGTTTCTTCCAGGAACCGTACAAATATGCGAAGAATATATTTGATCAACCAAGATCAGGTGTACTTAAAATAGAGGAAAATGTTCTAGAGGAACATTTAAGAGGTATGTACTCTGATCCTAAACAACATATTCCTCTAGATCATAATAGCAACTTATTTTGGCCAGCCGTTCCTAAAGTGAAGTTTGATATGAAACCACCCACACGCGAAGAAATAAAACGCATACTCGACAAAAGTAGGAACAAAAAATGTCCTACTCTTCTTAAATGGCTACATACTAACTTAAAATTAGCATGGAAAAATTACCATATCAGCCAACAGTGGATGATAGCGGAACAGGTGTACATACCCAAAGAAAAGAATTCCAAGGACATCAGTCAATTTCAGCCAATTTCACTTCTCAATGTAGAAGGAAAGATATTTTTCGCAGTTTTGGCATCGAGGTTGACCAAATACCTTCTCGATAATGAGTATATCGATACGTCGGTACAGAAGGGTGGTGTTCCAGGAATAGCTGGTTGCTTAGAGCATGGAAACATGATCTGGGAGGCCATTCAAAAAGCAAAAATTAAAAGGAAAGATTTGGATGTCATTTGGTTGAATTTAGCTAATGCCTACGGATCAGTACCTCACCAAATGATAAAATTATCATTACAAATGTACCATATTCCTGAGGAAATATCTATTATGCTAGGAACTTATTTTGATGGTTTCCTCATGCGTTTCACTACAAAAGACTTTTACGACTAAGTGGAACAGACTTGAAGTTGGAATTGCGATGGGATGTACAGTGTCACCAATATTTTTTTTCGTTCTAGCAATGGAACTGATTCTCAAGCGACAAACAACAAGGCTGATGTTGTTGAGCTTGGGGGAGGTTGTCAAATACAACCAGTGAAAGCGTTCATGGATGACACTACAATCCTCTCATCCAAAGTAAGTTCAACTCGCAAGATATTAAGCTTGATGGACGACCTGATAAGTTGGTGTAGAATGAAATTTAAACCAAACAAGTCCAGAAGTCTTTCTCTTAGAAAAGGAAAGTTGAACAAAAACATAAATTTTGTAGTAGGTGGCCAAAGAATCCCTACTGTATCAGAAAAATCAGTAAAAAGTTTAGGTCGGTGGTACGATCAATCGTTAAAAGATACCAACCAAGTAAAAGAAACATCCAGGTCATTACAAGAAGATCTCCATAAGATAGATCTTTGTCCTCTAAAAGGAAAATACAAGGTATGGTGCTTAGAGCATGTGCTCATTCGAAGCTGCTATGGCCCATAATTGTAAATGCAATTTGGAATGAGTACAATTGAGTCAATGGAAAGGAAAATAAACAAATATATCCGAAAATGGTTGGGTTTGCCTCCATGTTTGTCTGATATCGCATTGTACTGCAGACAAGCAAAACTAAAGTTGCCATTTAAATCGATTGTGGAAGAGTATAAATCCGGAAAAATTAGACTTCAAGTGATGTTGGATGACTCCAAGGATAAAGCAATAAAAGCTTTAAAGCCTACGTTAAAAACAGGGAGAAAGTGGAAGGTCAGAGAGACAATAACGAGTGCTAAAGAGAATCTAGCTTTCAATGAAGTCATCGGATACACTCAAGCAGGGAAACAAGGGTTAGGATTAAATGAAAGGCAATGGTGGTCGAAATCTTCTGGTAAAGATCGCCGTGACATGGTCATCCAAAATGTGATGAAAGAAGATGAAAAAAGACTCGTAAAAGGAGTACAACAATCCCAACAAGGCCAATGGACAAACTGGGAGGAGGCTCTTCAAGAATTTTATTACGTGGAAGGACATTTGGCAGATGGCTCCACTCAGGTTGAGCTATTTAATACGTTCCACGTATGACCTGCTACCATCTAAGAACAATCTTGTGAAATGGAAGAAAGATAGTGATCCCACTTGTCCCCTGTGTAAGGAAAAGCCACAAACATTAGAACATGTTCTTAGTTCCTGTAAAACAGCCCTTGTCAATGGCAGATATACATGGAGACACAATAGTGTTTTGGATGAGCTGGTCAGAATTATAAAGAAATACATGAAGTCTGAGTCATCTAATTCAGCCCAGGGATTTGTCGCAGAAGGAAAAAGATATGTCGGCTCTAAGCAAACAAACAAATGTAATATCAAGTAAAGGTCTGCGACCAGATATTGTTCTTCTGTCAAGGGTGAACCATAAAATCATCCTGGTTGAATTAACAGTACCATATGAATGCCGGATGGAACAAAGCCACGATTATAAAACTAATAAATATGAAAATCTAAAGTCAGAGCTAATAAAGGAGGGGTATAATGCAATTGTTAGAGCAGTGGAAATTGGAGCAAGGGGTTTCGTTTCAGGCACTCTGTACCAATTTCTGGGGCAAATTGGAATCAAAGGGCATAATAGGGCCAAGAGTATAAAATGCCTAGTAGAAGTAACAGAAAATAGTTCTATGTGGATATGGAAAAAACGAAATACTCCGTGGAGTGTTTCAGCGAACATGAATGACATGACATGACTGATCGTGAATGCGTAATGAGGTTCACGTTGCATTCTCAGAACGCGAGGTTTGCCGTTTTAATTTTCGTAGAATTTAATTTAGCGTTACACATTTGAACTAGTTTATATACAAGACTTGTATATCGTTATAATGGGGCCTCACATCAGTGAGGGGGGCCAGTGTGCAACTGAAACCGTTGAGAGGAAGGCCCCCGAAACAGTGCATATTCTCTCCTGATGACCCCAATTTAAAATTCGAGAGGAACACATCAAATTCAGTGAAGTCAAAAGCCGTAGTGAAGCTCGGTGGAAGTGTCATTGGCATGAGGAGCATTACACATTCAGCTCGCTTCAGGTGAGTTTCAATTACTTTCCAGTAATTTCCTTCTTCAAAAAAAACAAAAAAAAAACACTGCAAAACATTCCAAACCATCTAAGAAAAGAAAAAAAATTCAACTCTCATCCAAAAAACAATTAAACTTAGAACCAACCATTTACAAAACTAGAACTACAAGAAGTGCTAAGCAAAGCTCATGACACCACTGGATGAAATACATGATCAATTTCTAAAACAATTACTTCAAGTATCATTAGACTACCTTCTCCAAACTCTCAACCATATATGGATCAGCAATGATATTCCCAAATCTAGGAAAAAGGCCTACCGATACCCAAACCTGACAAAGACAATACAAAACCATCAAATTATGGTACCTGGGAACTAATAATCTCATAACAATAACAGGCAGGCTTCCAAAACAAAAGAAGCACTATTGATCATCTAATTTGTCTGGAAACAACCATATAAGAAGTCTTCTTTACCTTAGAGAAGGCTTATAAAACCAGGAAGTATGGCATAAAAAGGGAACCTACAAGTCTTTGGATTAAAAGGCAGACTGCCAACCTTTTATCTGTAGCTTTTTGGAAGACACATTTTATGGTGCATTTACATGAACTTAGAAACTGAAATATATAAATTGAATCAGTATTTTGAAAAAGTTCTTTTAAGTTTATTGTTTGGTAGTATTTTAAGCAGATTGAAATAAAATTGCTGCAGTTTATCATCAGTTATGTGTTTTATGGTGGATGGCTCTTGTCATGCCACACGTACTGGAGGATTTTTTTTTTTAAGTATATCTGAATGGTAGTATATTGCATTGGATTCTTTGAGAGTTTTACAGGCTCTACTTTTTTCTTTTTCTTTTTTTGTATTCATCTATAGTTGTAACAATTTTCTTTTGCCACAATTTGCTAGAACATGTCAAATTCTGCTGAGATCAATCTTGCAGATGTTTCATAATGCTACTGAATGATTTGAGTAATACGGGTTATACTGAGACTGTTTCCTGAAACTCTCCTCTTCATAATTCAATAAGTGGTGTTGCTAATATTTTATTCTATACAGGGTGTTTCAAAAGTCCGTCACATTCTAAAAACACTTATCATGAACTACAACTGGTAGCATGATTAAACTGGTACCATTTAAAAGCTAAAAGTGTCAGGTTTTCTTCTGATAGTTTAATTAAATTTAATTTTTGAACACCACTCTGCCTAATAGATGGTTCAGACATTCTGGACAGACTGATTGTGCAATAGCCCCCTAGGTCTCCCAAACCTCATGCCATATGACTTCTTCCTCTGGGGTGTATATGAAAGGCCTTATATACTTCCCTTTCCCAGAGACATGGATGATCTGAAGATCTGAATAACTGAAGCCCTGGCAACCATCAACAATGCTATGCTTGGTTGCATTTGGCAAAATTACATTATCATTTGGATGTGTCATATAACCCATGGCACTCAATTGAACGCTTGTAAAAACCTGTACAGAAACATGGTAATATTAGCTTTCAGGAAATATAAATTGTGTTTTGATATCCTCAATAGATATTTAGATATACACTGTCATAATATGGCAGATGTTTGAAACACCCTGTATAATATTTTTTGTTATAATTTCAGTGTGTTTATAGATAGGGACTTTGATATCTTCAATTCTTTCTGTTTTTTTTTAATCTTGCTGTGGTGGTGGGACTCTTTAAAAATATGTGAAATTATTTAAAGACTGTTAAATGCTGCTGTAATGTCTAAGAATAACCCTTACTGTAAAGGCCTGTACAAGAAACAGACTTTATCAGGTTGTAATATTCCTATTCTCTGTTACAGTTATTTAATGATAGAAGACAAATTAAAGCATTTTTGTTTTAAATGCACATGGGAGTGCTTCAATCATTCAACCATCATAATTGTTTTATGTCTATATTTAAAAATCCTTATTGTAAAATAAAATTTTAATCTTTAAAGTAAATTAGCATTTAGCATTCTTTGTCCATTAAATATTTATAAGGAATTTTCATGTGTTTCAGGGGATCCTGATAGTGTTGCTGGAGAATTTGGCCAACATGCTTTGTACAAGATGTTGGGATATTTTAGTTTGATTGGCCTGTTGCGCTTACACTCACTACTTGGAGATTATTACCAGGCTTTGAAAGTTTTAGAGAACATTGACTTTAACAAAACAGTTGAGTTTTTTTTTTGTTTGTTTGTTTTTTTTTTCCATTACCTGTCATCTTTCAAAGAAATATACTTGAAATAGCGGCTGATTTTTTTTACTTTTTCAGCATAATAGAAACATTGCCATAACTTCCCTCTCATAATTGCTTATATATTTTTCTTTTTTTCATTATTTATTGCAATATGGAATTTCAGTTATTATGCAGCTCATTCTCATCAGTTTAATTTAGGCAGATTTATAGATAATTGTATTTTTAATCTTTGGTAACATTAATAGTGACTTTATGAAGTTGTTGATAGTTTCATATTACAAAACTGAAAAAAAAATCATTGACTGCAACTGATATAAGATTACTTTTTTAATGGTAAATATGTATTTATTAATCATAGTAATGTGAATGGCTATATTTTAGATAATCTTTAAAAATAAAATTTGAGTTTTTTTATGTTTTTTTTTTTTTTTTTTGTTTCCCTGATTACTAAATGGAAAAATTAAATTGCAATTTTTAGTGGCAACCAAAACTGTTGGTTAATGCTAACTTAATGTACTTAATTTGAACAAAAGAAACTAAAATAAAGCTCAGTTTTATTGAAAAAGAATATATGATCTATTCTTGGTCTATTGTAGATGTTCATATTGTACAAATTCATCAGAACTTCCATTATAACTTTTTGTAATTCTTAAATTTTATTATTTACATGTTAACTCTCATTTATACTTTAAACATCTTTCAGAACAAGTACTCTCGTGTTCCTGCTTGCCAGGTCACAACATTTTATTATGTTGGATTTGCTTACATGATGATGAGACGTTACCAAGATGCTATACGTACCTTCTCTAACATCTTGCTTTACATACAGCGTACTGAACAGATATTTCAAAACAGAATTCAGCTCTACGATCAGGTAAATTGTAAAATGTATTGATGTAGTTAAAATTCATTTGTAGTTGGTTATTAATCAAATGATAATAGCAATAAAACCTATAAATCTGATATTCATCAGTGTATTTGTCACGCCTGTTTAAAACCCTTGTTTTAGAAAAATCCAATATGGCATCTAAATGAAATATTTGGTCTACCACTTCATCCCCAGCCCCTCAACCTCCAGCGTCTTCCTCTTTGGGTTGAAGTGTCCACTCGGTCCGAACCGAACTTAGGGGTAACTGGCCGTATGCTCCCTGAGTACCCGTAGACTATTTCGACCAGTCAACTGGTCAAGTCCTGCTTGCTGCCCACGCTGTGTTAGTTTTTAGATTCAGTAAGCGGGGTGTTGTCCATATGTTCACGGTCAACTAGGGTTGTGGACATGGCTGTGAGAGTTGGCGGTAGGAAGTTTAGAATGTAGCAAAATAAAACAAGAAATAATATCTGCAGAAGCCAGACAACAATGGGGGGAAATATTGACGTCTTTTATATAAGATAACATCAGAACAGAGGTTACAGGGAGAATAAAAACATTTAACATAAATGAGAAAAGAAAAAGACACAATGCATCCAGTGAATTCCCAACAGAGAGAGGGTTTGTGTGTGATAAACGCATATTGAATCGCCTGGGGTAGGTTTATGACTAGTCGTCCAGTCTCATACAGACTTCTCAGAACAGGGGGCAGTCTTCCTTCTCTAATTCTCCCGCAAATCTCTCGTGACTCTCTCGACAACGGTCTCATTCCCCGTCTCGCTCGACCGTCTGCCTCTCTCTCCAGCATAACTACGCTGGTTTATATAGATAAATCTGTTTGATCATGAATCGACCCTTGGCCCGGCACGCGATTATCATGAGTGTCAAAAACTATCCATTGACATGTAAACTGATTCACCAATTATTTACCATGAGTTCTCACTTCCCCAAAATTATACTTTGGAACTGTTAAACAAAACCAAATATCTCGTAGCCTGAGTAAGCTTTATTTCAATTTTTAACCGATAAATTTTATTTAGATCATTTTTTTTTTCATTGTTTTTTCTTTTTTTTTTTTTTTTTTCTAATGACCCAGATTTAAAACATCACCTCCTGCCTGAGATTGTGTTTCTCATCGGAAAACACACCTCTTAACCCAAATTGTACTTTGATATATATACACCATTTCCAATTCTAGTCAATAAAAGTTATGTTTCCATGTGTGCATTTGTGTGTGTGTGTATACCTCTGTTACATCGGCAAAAATCCCATTCATCAATAACCTTTTAAACACCTCATAGAATGTAAAGTTCTTAAAGCACACCTGTGCCAAACTGTTTTCCTGAATCCTTGGTGACTTGGCTGTCCAAAAGTTACATCAAGATGAAATAATGGAAACTGACCGTGAAAAACACAATTATGCACAAGTTTTCGATCAATCAGTAAATTTCTGGAGGTTTTCAGGCTACGTTTTAGGACAGCTATTGTTTGAACGTGTAATTATTTACTGGTAATTAATCTTCGATTTGGCTGTGAAAAATGTCACTCAGGGGTTAGCATTAAGAAATTATGTCCAATTTTCTGAAAAATCACTTTTTTTTTTTTTTTTTTTTTTTTTTTCACTTCAAAATAGTATCATTCAATCTTCATCCCTTTCTCTTTAAGTTGGTGTGGACATCATATGTCGTCTGCTAAGTGTTGTTGTCATCGCCTGGGCCACAAGGTGTTAAAAAACGAAGCAAAACACATCAAGCCATTGTTCAAACATAGGTTTGAAAAAGAAAAAAAGTCCTACCAATGTTGTCCTTTTTTTTTTTTTTTTTTTTTTTCCTTTTCTTTGCTCTTATCTGGGAGTGGTGGGTTTTATTACAAGCTGACAACAGCTTGTTCTAAACATTTATTGCTGGCTGGCTGGCTGACCTTCTTTATCACTGCTAATTTTTTTTGGGGAAAAAAAAAAACACCTTTTGGTTTCTGGTGGTCAGGAATTGCAGATAAATCTTTTACTAGAGATTTCCATGACCAGGTGTCAATTTTTTTAACCCCTAGCAGTCATATAATTGAAAATTACCAATGGACTTTATCGCATTTTGACCCACCTAGGAATGTTGATTTCCTTCAAAACTCTCAATTTTATGCCTGAAATAGTTTCATTATGATTTAGGCTTTCTGATTTAAAAAAAAAAAAAAATTATTAATTTCCCATTAATGGGGAAAATTTTTGTTTAAAACTAAAAAAATGAAAAATTTTCACTATTTTTTCACATTTTACTCCCTGAAAAAAATTTTTGGGTCATTTACACTAGCTAATTTTACTTTTAAATAAAAGAATATATCCTTTGTTTTCAGAAAATACCTAGTTTCATGGGGTTCAGATCAAGTTTCCTTGATATTTGTTCAGATGAAGACAAAACTGTCATTTTTCAATATTTTACCTCTATAAAAGTATGAAAATCCATTTTTTTCACTGAAAATAAGCTGTGACAAAATGATTTTTGCCATTTTTGTGTTGATATTTACTTAGGATAGAAAATTTTAACCATAGCAAACCTGAATTGACTTTATTTAAGTTTAGTAGGGCTATAAGGAAACCTCAAACAGCTGTGTTGTCCTGATTGTTATTAAAAGAAATCTGTTGTACAAGAAATTTATTTAAATGTGTTTTTGCTTTTTAGATTAACAAGATGAATGAAAAAATGTACACTGTGTTAGCCATTTGCCTAGTGCTTCATCCAATGCGTATTGATGAAAGTGTACATTCTCAACTTCGAGAAAAGTATGGTGACAGAATGCTGCGCATGCAGAAAGGGTAAGAAAACTGATCTTTGCTAAATATAGTAAATTTCTTATTAAAGATATTTGAGAAATAATTTGCACCTTTTTTTTTTTTTTTTTTTTTATGATGCAATAAATTTCACTACTTGCTTTTCATCATTACTGTGGCTGTCAGTAAATAGTGTGATATGCTGAATGTTAGTATGTTTAATTGCAATGAAAAAATACGATGCTGCTTCTAATTTAAGATAAATATATGATCAAGATGCTAGCCATAATATTCTTGTAGTACAAAGCAAGGTAGGTTTCCCAAGATGCTATTTCAAATTCTATCAAGTGTTTTTCCTCCAACCAACCATGCAGTTTACTGATGCAATGAGTTTGAGTTGCAATGAAAAATGATTAAAATTAAGATTGAAAAAAATACTAATTAAAATTTATAATAGTGATTTCATGTCAAAGAAAGGTCTTATTTTTTTTCAAATTTGGTACACTTATAGAGTTCATGATACTAATTGAACGGTACCCTATTTTACATCTCTAGGTTAAAGGGTTCCTGAGATGTGGCCCTTTGACCTTTACCAAAAAGGTGAATTTTTGGACAACAAATTTGTCTGCCTTGTGGCAAGATATGTTCAAAATTCTGTGGAATTTTGACTGTGGCCTGGGTTACAGGTGTTTTACTGAATTTGACCAAATTCAAAATGGCCAATTTTAGTATTTGCCCCATATGCTAACATTTTCCTATCTCCCAATATCGTCAAAGCTATTTGAATACTGATTAATATTCACATTAGAATTATGAACATAATAAAATCAACAGAATTTGTGTTATTTGTGGTTAAATAAACAACCCTTACTTTTGTTTTTGTTTATATTTTTATTGTACAACATAGATTTTTATATGAAAAAGTGACATGATGAAAATAATTATTTAAAAATGTGTTTTTAAAAAAAAGTTTACTAAGTTATTTTTATGGGTTTTTTTTTTTTTTTTTACGTCAACTTATGGAGAATAGTTTTGATTTCGATATTTGTCATAAAAATGAATTATGATTTCACCCAAAATTAAAGATATTATCCTTTTGTGAATGCACTGCAGCATATTATTAAAAATGATTTTCATTTGCGAATATTTCTCTGCAGTTTTATTTCTGTGTATCAGTCTTTTAGAAATATATAAACATTGTATTTCCAGGGAGATGTTAGAATTTGAGCAATGTTTTTATTTTGCTTGCCCAAAATTTTTGTCACCAGTTCCACCCAATTATGATGAGACTACTGTGAATTATCACAAAGTAAGTATTATCTCTACAAAATAATTTATAATTAAAGATTTTCTTGATTCATTTCTCTTCAAGGAATATCATGAGGCATTGTTTTTATTTAAGGTGGAGAAGCATTGTGGTTAAAATTAAATAAGATTTTTACATGCTCTAATCAATCACACTGAAATTTTGTAATGCTTATTTTGCATCAATAAATTCAAAAAGGCATAACTTGATGGATACAATTAGAATAAACAAAACAAAATTCCCCACTAAAGCCATCCATATGACAGATATGTAGATGATAATTTCATAATCTGGCCTCACTAGGAAAATGTACAAATCTTGGACAATGTGAACTCAGTAAGACCTTCAAGACCTAAGAGTAAACCAAACATCAACTAGCTTTCCTGGATGCAGAACTTGTGCAGAGAATGAGTTCAAGATATTTTTATATCACAAGCTAACCATCAAATGGGATTTTGCTACTAACAAATAAAATATTCTGATCTTAAAACGTTAAATTCCTGAGCTGGAACTTAACAGAATCATTATTTTGCATAATTGTACCATATACAGTGAAGTCAGTCACTTATGCGCAAGTGTTACAACCTATATTGATGGAACATGTCATCCTATAAATAGTATGGGGTATTTTCCAGTACCACATAAGCACCATAGCCTAATTCATGATATTAACCTGACCAAACCAGTCACCACAGGGCAAATACCCATGGCGCACACCATCAAGGGTAGTAAAAATAAAAGTTGTTGTTTGCTTAGTAATTAAATTAGATTTTTAAACGCTGGTTTGTTTATTTTTCATTATGAGTAAATGAAAAGCTAGCAAACTTGGTGGGTGTACTCTTTTGGCAAAATACAGTGCTGAAGAGCCAGCTTCCTGTGATGATTTTTATCATGATGGTGATAAATTATTTTGCAGTTTTTGTCAACATACTGTCAATTGGACTCGAAGGGACATGCTTTTGAATCATTAGAAATTGCTAAAGCACCAAAAAACTCAAAAATAATAAGTAGGCTACATATATCTATATTTTACTGTTTACACACAAGTCTCTGTTTTTTACATGTTTTTACGATTTTGAAAGAAAAATGGAAAATTGAAATTTACCATCATGGAACACAGAATTTGTTGTTTTAGAACACGGAGATCTTGCCACTCTAACTTAACACATAAGAAAAAGGAATTGTCTGATGCCTCCAGCATGCTGCAAAAATCATAAGTGATGACCCAGACCTATGCCAACAGATGGTCAGCATCAAACATACCCTTCAAGTAATGACTACCCTGCAAGCGTAATATAAGCTGGAGGCTGAGATTGGAAGATACAAAATGAAAACTGTTGTCTATCACTCTCGTGTAAAGCGCATGTGTGAAAGGATTGAAAAGACCTGCAGTTCATAAAACATTAAAACAAGAAGCAGTTCAAACACTTAAGAACATGACCAATAACTAATAACATTGGGGGGCATAGCAAAAAGAAGGCAGTACAAAAAAAATAGCAACAGAAGAATTCAAGTTGTTGTCTCAGGATTGTCCCACATTGATTTGCTGACATGATAATTGTGATATCGGAGCTTCTCAGACTTGATGGAAACCAAACTGGCAATAAGTACCTCTATCTACTGAATAAAAGGATCAGAATTCTTTGACTCACACCTGAAAAAGGACAGATGGCACAACAGGTGAAATGTGATTGTAGCAAAAAAGACAAGGCATTAGTATGACTAAATAATGTCAATAAAATTCAGTTTTTGTTGAAATCATGTTGAAAGTAATAAAAACTATTTCAAGAGTTGTTTATCATAATTATACTTGAATTACAAGTAAAACATCAGAGTAAATATAATTTTCAAAAAAAATTTAATCCCTTAAATTGAGCATTTTAATTGCTGTTTTATCATTTGGGATAATAAATTGTAAATTGTTGTTTAGCCTTAGAAAAATTCTATCAGTGTTTATCTTTTTCAGGATCCATATTTTCTGCAATTGAAAGTCTTTATGCAAGAGGTTTCTCAGCAAATAAATTTGCCTATTATTCGAAGGTATTGCGACTTGAATTTTTTCTTTTATTTAATATAAACCTATGACTGAATTGTTGATATATTTAAAACTACCACCAACTTCCAAAACAATAAATCAATTTAGTTTTAAATACTTGATTTTTACTTATGTATAAACAGTTCTGCAAACTATTTTACGATATAAAACTAAAATATAATTTTAATTAGGCCTTTTTTTTCTGAACTTACTTTACCACTAAATCTTTGCATTTTCATAAGTTTTTAATTGGATTTCTTTTCCATTAGAAATTTCACTTTCAGTCATTTTTCTCACCAACCTCCATATTTAATTAAAATTGTCAAATTTAATGCAGGAAAATAACATTTTATATATGAAATAATACCTATATTTATTTTTTCCCAACACATGATTTTAAAATTAATTTACACTGATGTGTTAAATCATGAGAGCCATATGTAGATGGCAGCACGATACCTTGAGGTCATGAAAATGCCCAGGATTATATCAGCTATATAGTGAATCAGTATTGAACACCAGATAGATTGTTCATGGCAATGTGGTGTGAATTATTAAAGTTAAAATAGGCCTTCATATAGTGTGCCATTCCATTTTTGCAATTGTTGGCATCTCTCAATCTACGTGCCTACAAGGAATGCATGATAGAAGGCACTACTTTTCATGAATCACAGTGGCCAACCATGGGTTTCCTATTGATTATGACCAGGGGCATCTGGCTGCAATTGTCTGCAGTAACACAAGTGACAAACATTCAATGTAGGAGGTAGGAGACACATCTTGTACCATGCAGGTTGGTTCTATAATTGTGTAGGGGGTGTTCATGTGATATGGGTTCACAGATCTGCCTTGAACACCTCATTGACTGCTGACCACTACATTGCATGTAACCATAATGCATAGTATTGTCAGGTTCAAGTTGGGTGGGGGTCATTTTGATAAATTGTATGACCACTGTGTTCACCTGACATGAACTCTAGCATTTATGGGATGTCATGGAGAGGTTTATTTGATCCTGCATATCTCTACATTTCTCCAGGGATCTGACCACTTGTGAAAATAGTTCTGCATTGAGTTGATGCAGACTAAAAGAGGAAGACTGAAATGATACTAAGCACCTATCTCATGACTCTTGGCATGTAGGGGTGTAACATTGTATTTCAAATTTAAAATCTTAATGGCCAATTCAATTTACTCTTTCAGTTTCCTGAAGCTTTACACTACATTACCCATCTCTAAACTTGCAGCATTTATGGAAATGGTAAATATTCTTTTTTTTTTTTTTTTTTTTTTCCTTGTAAATTGATGAAAATGTTGATTTATTTGTTCATTGATATCTACAGAAATACATGATATTTGTTTTCTTAAATGTATGAATTGTCCCAGTATTTTGTATACATTGAAAATTAATTTTTTGCACTTTCTTAAATATCTGAATACTTTTAAGTTTAGAAAATATTTCTTGTAAAGCATTTGTATTTGGAATTGTTATTACTAATTAGCATCTTCGGATTTCTTTTCTGTGTTGAATTCTTTTTTGTTAAAAAAGAAAACGTTATTTTAGTTGTATATTGGATATTTATCTTAAATTGAAATGTGAAAATTATTTTAGGAATGTTCTCATTTATAAATAAACTAATTGCTTTTTATATTGTCAGTGTTTGATATATAGGAAGTTATGTTCAAAATAGATTATAAAGAATTTTTTATCTTTATTCAGTCAGAAGATGAATTACGAACACAGCTCATGTGCTTTAAGGTAATGAACTTGATTAAAATTCCAAAACCTGTTATGCAAATTTGTTTTACTTTTTTAATTTTATGAATTTTTGTCAATTTTTCTTTCATAATTCTTAATATTTTTTTAAATGGAATTGATGTAGTTGTTTTTGCCAAGTTGAAATTTTCCAATCATTTATATTTTAAACTGCATAAATAAAGAAAAGGCCTAATAATACATACTATGCAATATCATTTTATGCAAACAGGGCAATTTAAAAAAACTTCATATTTTTAAAGAATTTTAATAAATTTCTGGGAATTGACTTTTCAAAATTTGTATTTAAGCCATCATTTTAAATGCGTAGATATTTAATAATGTTAACTGAAAAGACAATTTATAAATAACAATTCTATAAGTACTAAAATGCTTGTATTTCTATGCAGTAGTTTGTATTTTTTTACACTTCAGCACAAAATGAAAAATGTAGTATGGACAAAAGGTACCAGTGGTTTGGATGGAGAATTTCAGTCGGCCTCTGAAGTTGATTTCTACATTAATCAGGTAAGAATATTGCAAACCAATTGGGAAATATTTATATTTGTTAACAAAATATTAATTTTTTTATATTTAATATATATATATATATATATTCTTGTTTCAACCCACTTCTGGCCAATAAGAATTTACTTGTGAATTTGTTTTATATCTCAGAACAATGTTAAAGATGATAAAGTGGAAAATTTCTGTGGAACACTTTTTTGCACTTTAAAAATTAGTACAGGAAATTTTAGTGTCATTTTTGTGATTAAAAAACACATAGATTTGGAAATTTTGGGGAAAATCAAATTTTTCAGATTTTTTTTCACAATTGAAGGAAAATTTTAGAAAAAAAGTGTTTTAGGAAATTATTAGTTTTTTTTTCTTTTCTTTAAACATCTGTTACACTCCAACCCACCTTACCAGAAATTAAAAGCAGGACTCCTTGGAATTTTTTTTTCTTCAAACAGTAATGCATTTAACAAAAACCTGCTCTAAATCATAAAATAAAAAATGCAATAAATCCAAGACAGTATTTAATTAGAAAAGTTTTTAATTGCTTTTATAAATAAGGTACATTAAACACACTACTATCTTAAGAAAAATATTCAATGAATAAGGGATTTTCACAAGATTCATTTGTTTTTAATATTTTAAAGTTCTGTATTAAATTTTACCTCTTTAGATGATATTATTAAGTGAAAAAAATTACTAATAAGAAATTGAAAAGCTTAGTGCAATTCATCAAACAGCAATATTTTAAAAAAAAATTTTTTTTTGTAAAAGTTTTAAATCTTAAATTTCTGTATTAATTTGTACCGGTTAGGTGATATTGGTATTGAGTAAAAACTATATTAATCATAAATGGAAAAGCTTACTGTCTGTCTTTCTCAAGGTTTTTTTTTTTTTTTGTGTGTAAAAACTGCTGCTTTCTGTAAATACAAATGTTCATACAGGAAATTATCATTAAAAAGTCAATTGCGTTAAGGGTTGTCTCAAACTTTTTCGGCTGTGAGCAACGTTCATGTTTTGCCATGCTTAACAGTCTTTGCAAATCATCCACTCAAAATTTTGAGGTGTTTTTTTTTTTTTATTATTATTATTATTCCAGTTTCACTATATATTTTTAATTTATACATTATTTTTTGGTTATTGAGTCATCCTTTTTTTCTTTGTTTTTTTTTTTTTTAGTTTCTATTAAGAATAAATAATTTACACAAAACCAATACTTAGTAAACATTTTTATAATTTTTATTCAATTTCCATTTAAAATACTTTTTATTTATTTGTGTGCTATTTTGGAAATTCCTCTCAAATTTTTAAAGTATTTTAAATCTTATTAATTATTTTTTCAGAAACCATCTTCAAATGTAAGCTAAAGTACCTAAAATTCAATAAAATATTAGATTGCTGAAAATATTTTAATTACTGGTTAATTAAAAAGTTAAAAAAACGATGCTAAGAGTAAGTAATTGTTACAAATCAGATTAATTAAATTTTAAATTTACTAATTTCCTTCAAATAATATTTCAGAAATATATATTTTATTTTTGCAAGATTTTCAAAACTGAGAATTAACTTGTTTACAATTGTCACAAAAATAGATGATGACGTTAATTTTACTGAGAGTAAAGAAGAAAAGATTTTAATGAAATTTTGAACGTACTAGGATTAAAAAATTTAATAAAATAATAAAAAGATACTTTGATTTTTCTTCTTAATAATAACAAAACATTTTGACGCTAAAAGTTTTTTTTAATCAAGCTTTTTTCCAGCAAATTATTGAATGTGGCTAATTAAAACTGACTCTTGTATTTTTATATTCACCCCTTTCACCTTCCTACATATATCTAATTCCATGAACAAAGATATTACTTTAGTCCAATGAAGTCCTAGTGGACAAAACAAAGACATTTTTTTGTCTTTATTATTCATTTGCTTTTTTATTTTCACTGTATTGCAAAACTAAATTGATTCGAATGTTTGTTTTTTTTTGTTTTTTTTATTGCTGATTTTAGCCATGTTTACCATTCTCACAGCACAACATATTTCTCTTTATTAAATAATCATTCAAAAATATACTTTTCTGAAAATTTTAGTTGAGAAAGATTAGCTGATTTGAAACAAATATTACTTTGTTTAAATTGTCGTAGTAAAGCATTTTTTAACACAGGTTAGTGATTTTATGAAGTGTTGACTTTAGGGAATATAACTAATTTTTTTCTATGAGGGACATATCTGCAAAAATTACTTGACAAATATAATGTGAACACATTTTTAATTTTTTTTAAGTACCCAGTAATCCTAAAAAAAATTTAGGAAGATATTCTAAGTAATCTGTTTTATTGAATTTTAGGTACTTTGACTTTAAATTTACTATAGTTGTATGGACATCTGTATTTACTAAAATCTGCACATTCATCCACACACAAGAAAATAAAAAAATTCTTTTTAAATACTGAATTGTAAGTTTTTCCATTTATGATTTAATAAATATAGGTTTTACTCAATAATAATATCACCTAACCAGTACAAATTAATATAGAATTTAAAAGTTATTATAATTAAAATTCTAAAAAATGAAAGAAAAAAAAATTTTTTTTTCTTAAAGAGTGTCTATAATATATCTTATTCATAAAAGCAATTAAAATGTTTTCTAATTAAATAATATCTTAGTTTTATTGCATATTTTTTATGATTCAGAACAGATTTTCGGTAACTTTAAAAAAGAAAAAACAAAAAGATTTAAATTCTTTAAAGACTTAATTAATATAAACATTAAGCCATACAAAAATGAATTTCTCAATTTCTTAAAATTAACTGGGGGAGAGAGGTAATAAATGACTGGGGATTTGTCATGTTTTAGAGGCTAATATGGATTAACAAATGCCAGTATAAAGGAATTTAGGATTCAGACATGGGGATTTTAAAGCTTGGAAAATTAAATTTATCCTTTCTTGGGGCTGAGAAGCAAGTAGAAATTTAAAACCCATACACAACACTGGTTGTCTAAATTACAGGTTAATCTTCTGGTCTTTTATGGTATATTTTTATTAGCATCCCAGTCTCAGGAAACCATAATAGATGTGTTCCTGAAGTGATATAGGGTTGAAGTCATATCTGATATGACTGCATGCCAATGTGCAAGAGGCTAGGGTTGCAAGGATTGCCCCAGTGCACTTTGTCTGATCCTTTGCCTTCACTTGACACCCACTTCTGTCTTCTTCCACAATGTCTCTATGGGCAGTATGATGCCAAGCAGCATGAAGAACGGTGGTTAGATTTACTGAATTATGACAACAATTTTCTGACAAAATTCATTTTCATTAATGTAGCAATTAAAAAAAGTTACATATTTTGTTTTCTATTGTGGAGAGCTTTGGATCTCCACTTCCAGTGTAAATATTTTACTTTGAAATTTTTGGGAAAAACTTTTTCAATTTACTATTATCCATTTTTCATTTATTTAAATTTTATGAAGTTAATGTAAATCCTTCACTCACTTTACTACCAGTGTATGAAAAAACAAAAAAAGCTGGTTTGCTTTCCATCAATTATGGAGTTCCAAAGGATTCCAAATTGCTTCACTAGTCAGTTTTATATTGAAGTTAAATAGTGAACTGAACCTCCCTCCATTAAAATCTTTGGATAATTGTAGTGGGTGGTGGGGTCAATCACCTCCTCCTCTATAAAATAAGATTATCTAAAGAAAATTAACCAGTTTAATTATTTTACATTTTTTTTTAGTATTAAACTGGTTAATTTTGTTTTACATTTTTAACAACTATGCTTCAGCAAGATTTTTAAATACCTATAAATAATTTGATTTCAAATTTTTCTAAAAATATGTTTGTCTTTATGAAGAATAATATTATAGAAAAAATAATAAATTTTTTATTCAAATTTTTTCAAATGAACAAATTTCTGTATAGTACTTTTGAAAAATTAGCTGTCTAAACAATTATTCATTTTTTTTTTGTTTTACAAGAGTGGTATCAACATACTATGTTATAAAGAAAAAAAAATTTCAGTAAAAAAATTAATTTTATAATCAAGATATCTTATTAGGAACAATATCATAAAGGGAAAAATTTAAATTTCAATGACAAAATTCTCAATATTTCACTTTTTAAAATAATTACAAAAAATGTAAAAAAGAAAAAAAAGAATATTGACAAGATAGCATCTTTCCCATTTTTATGGTATATTTTTAAGAATAGTTGTAAAAACAAATTTATTGAATTTAATTTTTGACATTAACTTTGTGATAAAATTTTTAAGTGTCATTTTTCATTAATTTCACCATGAAAAAAAAAATTTAAAAATAAAATATGTAACTTTAAATAAATAAACATTATACTTACTTCAGTATTTAAAATAATAAACTTAAGTTAATCCAAAGATAAGAAGTAAAAATTTCCTTTAAAAAATTAAATTCTTAATCCAATTCCAGCAACAAACATTCACATATTAACTGTTCACCCCCCAGTGATAGATCTATACACACTGAACAGACCTGGTTATGGATCATCTTGGTATCATATGATCTGATTGTCCCATGATTTAAACAGTCAACACCTGTTCATCATTAAAGGCAAAATGCTACCAAACCGTTTCTGGAAATGATTCAACAATTACGAAAAATAGATAATTTGTACAATTCAGTGACAGTGATAATGGTTACAAACCAAGGAAAATCCAGTTCCTGTAACAAAACCATGATCACATACCAAAAATGTAATGCGTTTAATATGTGAAAGATGTCATCTGTTATAAAATGTTGAATTGTAATAAAACAATCAATTCTGAGACTGTCAATTGGAAACACTATGCCAACCTGTGTTGAAACGGTGTGTGTCACTGTTCAAAGCATTAATATCAAGCCGCCTCAATGAGGTAATCATTCAAAACAAAGAAAACTATTGCTTCCCTTCATTGAAATTGTAACAAATAATGTCTCCATAGATATATTATTTGGATGTCTCATTTTGGTTAGATTGAAACACGTTTAGTTTCCATCATAT